AAGACGAGTGCGCGGGGGGGGGGGGGACCTGAGCACTCTGGCGGATCAAAGCAAGTTCGATATAATGCGGTTTCACCTATAAGGTGGTAAGATTTTTTGGCTCCCGAGGACAGCGTTATATCGGGGTAGAGGTGTAATGTATTTGCTGTCTCCACATTCCTCACATCATCGAGTGCTTTTGCAGTAACAGCTATCCCCTGTTAATACACCAAGTCGGATTAATCAATGCTGTATTGATTTAGAAACAGATCAGTACTGCATGGGGAGCTTTTCCCCCCCACCCCAAATAAGTTAGATTATTAGAACTGGAAAGATCAGAAAGCCCCACTGCTCAATTCACCACTTTGTCCAGAGTGCCAAATATGCTATACAGTGAAGTGTCCAACTATGCAATAAAGTTATAATGTCATAATTCACAGTCATTATGAAAGCCCATGTAAAGTACACAGGAGAGTATCTCTTTGGAGTGGGGAGGAACCTGAGGCTGGTCGGAGGGACCAGTTCCCAGGATTTGATGGCAACTTGCCAAAAATGCCTGTGCAAATCAAAATCTAAAGATATAATAATGTGTACTGCATGCATATATGTTAAGCAATATCAAGGACACGTTCGATTCACTCCCATACTATGATGTTCCATATATATATAAATATATATATAAATATATATAAAAGCGTAAATATGCTAACAGCAATCCTAATAATACAGAGTGCAGTTCCCATGGAAGGTATGCTTCTCCCGTGGGGGTGCAGCCTTAGTCTCAAATTAGGCCTGTGCTCTGACCTCTGCAGGATGAAATATTGCCATTCCATGACACAGTTATAGCATTGCTGCCTGCAAGTCAGGGATGGGTAATGCTATGCTTGGCTGTCAGGCCTCCAGCACCTTTTGTTGTTCAGATGACTGAAGAAAGCTTGCTAATTCCCATTGCCTGATATGCTAAGGTAAAAGTCTGGAGTGATGCCTCTGGGCTGGGATCCTGGCTCTGTACTACATCTGTCTGGCTGGGAATGGAAGCTAAGAAAAACACACCTGCTCTTTCTCCCACATCCATCCACTATTTCCTCCAGTGCAGAGAATGCATAGCTGGATGAGCAGCCACTTACTGAACACAGAGTTCTGCTTGCTCCACATAAACATACTTATTTGACCCAGAAATGCTGCACAGTGGTCCTATCTCAGAAAATGCATAGGCCTTGTTGCACATTTCAATAATGAATCAGACCATTCCACAACTTTTCCACTTTCCAAAATGTATGATTTGACTTATTCACATGGGATTCATGAAGCACCATCCACTATACTTTTGCCCATTTTTAGGCAGTATCTTTTGCCAGCATCAGCATGGTGAAAATACTTCAGATGTAAAATCATAAGGCTGACTTCCCATGAATTAGAAGTCAACTGAATTTTTGCTGCAGCAAGAGTTAAGACACAGCAAATGATATATATCAAATTAAAAATATTTTTAAAAAATTAAACTAGATTTCCTGAAGGCAGATGGAAGGACCTTGTATCAGAAAAATCAAAAGTCAGGTTGTAATTGTACTCATATCTACTGAAATAAGCTCTTTATTACATTTTATCATCTCCTGCTCTTTTCTTGAACTCTTTAGAACTATAGAGATTGATCACTGCCCACAGGTTTTAATGAATTTGGTTGATTATCCTAATTTTGGCAACTGCACACAAACCAGGAATGGTCTTGGGTTTTTTGTTGTTGTTTTGTTTTGGGGTTTGTTTGTTTTTTGTTTTTTTTTTGCAAAAGATTATTTTAAAATTTCAGTTCAATAATTAACATTAATATACTTCACATTTACTTTACTAACAACATTATAATAATAAATGATAAAAGAAAGCATGGATTCTAACCACTTTGTCCTCCTTTGGGAAAGCATCCAAGGAAGCAGAGTAAAGACAAAAAAGAAACAGGAAGAGAAAAAGATTTTAGGCAGATTTCAAAGAAAGGCAATTCTAGTAAGTGTCTCTATAAAGAGTTAAAAATGTAAGAATTAAAAAAAATATATAGCATTTGTAAATAAAAATATTTATAGTACTACATGCCCAAAAATATATATATTCTAACATAGACCCATAGAAGCATGAAAGATTGTAGCAAAGACTGGAGAAGTCAAAGAAGAATGGAAATATTAACAACTAATATGTCAGTTTTGCCATGAGAAACACTTTCTAAATGTTTTAAGGGCACCTAATAGGACCCTGTAGTTATGTATTTGTGTTTTCATCACAGGTTGCTTGTTTTCAAGAGTCCATAACTTAACACTTCCTCTCCTAGAAACGTGTCAAGTCAACATACTAGACAAGGTCTTAACCCAGTTATGACATCAGGAGGGTCTTTTTATTTTATTTATTTATTTTAAATAGGACAATTTGACCATTTTAAAGTTTTAAGTGAGTCAAAAATTGGAAGTTAATTGGTTTTAGAGCTATACTACAAAAACAACTATTAGATAAGCTATAACACTGATGTGTCTTGACCCAGTTACAACATGGTTAAAATCTGTAACATGGCCAGGCCTTAGCCATGTTCCATAACTGGACTAAAGCTCTAGCCATTTCCAAGGCTTTAGTCCAGTCATCTGCCCCAGTAATAACAACACTAGGTCATGTGCACAAAACAAATTGTAACTGTTTCATAACTGGGTAAGAGGACAACTATGTAACCAGATTGATGAGTCTGTTGCTTTTCCAGCATGGATGGGTCCTATCAATCAAAAATAGGTTATTTTATATTGAATGCTTGAAGTCTCTGTTGTGGGCTGACTTTCTTTATTGTGCCTAGGTACTGCAATTTACTATACTTAATTGGTAACAGCCTTGCAAAACCATCATGAACATTTCCCAGACCAGGTACAAAAATATTCTAACTCACATTTACCCTGATAACAATGTTGATATTGGTTAAAAAAATATTGGTTTGTCTCTCCTGTCCTTGCCTTGTGTGACAATAGTACAGAATTTTGCAAAACTAATAGAAACCACCACTGTTCTAAAGGTCTGGAGAAAGAATGATAATTACTGCAACGACTAAGCACAACAAGAAAAATTCAGGAAGTAGTTTAAACTTTAATTCTGAATGTCTTTGGTTTTAAGTCACACCCCTTGGCTTTATTTTAAATACAGTAAACCAAATTTATGCGTGGTGCAACACTACTGAAGTCAATGTTATATCAGGAACAAATTTTGGACCAATGTTGATGTGTGACCAGAAATATTAGATAAGGAATAATTAAAACATGTTCAAGTTCTTCTGAATAAGCTGTGTTGTACATCTTGCACTGCCTAATATTACCTAAAATACCAAAGTAAACTAGTTTTTCCTATATAACTTGTTCTAATGATACCACCTGCAGGTGATAGGATGTGGTGCACACACATAGTTTTAAAACTGAACATATTCAGCAGGTCATGTATGCAGCTGCATTCTTCTTTCAAAAAGTGCATTTAACTCCAAGTAGGGTTATTGGGAGTTAAACGGGTATACTAAGAGTATAACATATTCAAGGTATAACTCTGAAATAGGCTGTTTCTGCATTTTTAATTTTTTTAAAACCTGAATTTCAAAAGATCCTTAATAAAATAAATTCTAGTTCAGAGAAGAGGAAAAGTGCACAACAATTGTTCAGTTGTAGAAGGGATTAGCTGTATTATGTATTTTGTTTCTTGTAAATTTTTGAATTGAGTTCATTTAGAAAAAGGGAGCTCCAAATATATTTAGGACACTGTCAAAGATTCTAGTGCCTTGATACAGCATCTGGGAAGCTGCACTAGGTCTCACAATAGTTAACATATCCGTTGATAAGATGAAAGACTATTTAAACATTTTAGAGCATATTATGGGGCCAGGATATCCCCCTAAAATCAGCATGTGGCAGTGGTCTTCTACATATATATCTCAACTCTCATGAATGAGTGAGATAGTTAGCCACCAATGGATCTATGATGCCAGAGAAAAGGGAATTGCCGGCTAGAAGGCTTCCATATAGATCCCTGGGAAACCTAAAGGTTTGGGGCCAAGCTCTCCAGCTCATTCTATACAGGTGGAAAAGAGGGCGCAAACCCCAACTGCCTGACAGAAGGATCAGGAATTAACTCCATGAGAGGGAATCTAGTCCATGGTAACTTACAAGACCACTACAATTTAAAACTAAACTAAATTAAAACTAAACTAAAACTAATACACTTAGTGTATTAAATCTCCATACTTTTGGAATACATTGTTTTGACTTGTTACCTACCACCACAGAAACCCCACCTTAGAAAGGATCAAGATGAAATGATGGATGGAAGAGATGCTAAAGTAAGATAAGTGAGGAACAATTTGTAGGTTTGAATGTATCAATATTTGCAATAAAAACTATACAGTAGAAAACTTACATTGTTTGATCGTAGAGAAACACGACCTCCACATCGGGCACAAAACTTGGTCCGGCAGTAAGAGCATAAATGGCCACAGCCATCAGCAAACTTTGTTTTAAGACAGATTCCGCACGTTGGTGCATCATCCTTGTGCTCTCCCTGGTAGCGGCGAGATTCTTCACCTATTTTTCTTACTTGCTCTTTATAACTTTCAAATTGTTGATGCAACCTCCTGCACAGAAGAGAAAACAGTTTATAACAATAACAAGACAAACTATTTGTGTTTTGATTTACAATAGCATCTAACATTCTAGGCACTTTTACAACAAATAAAATACACAATATCAAATACAAGTTGAACTTGAAAGACTGCCCCACCAGCTTTAAAATTCACATAAAAAATCATAGGCGTAAACTAACAGGAGAAAATGGTCAAAAGATAATTATTTAAAAGATGTCAGGCGAATCATTTTACATGACTAATACCAATTTCAAATATACAGTTACAGTTTACCAAAAAACCCTAGTCAGCTGTAAAAGTATCTAACAAGTATGAAATCAAAGCTAAAAATATCAATATTTGCTTGAGCAAAGTTTCATCTATTATTATTTATTTATTTACATTGCACTAGTGTCCATAGGTTATAATCAGGATGCGTGTTGCAAGCTCAGTTTAAAAGGTTAGACTGCTATGGAACAATTAAAGACCATAACTTAAAGATTTCAACAAACATTCCGCCATCATCTCTAAAACCAAGAAAAAATTCCCCAAGAGAAATGCACATATTTTAACATAAACATCCAGACCAGTGTCAAATAAAATAAAAAATGCCTGCAGTATTGATACCAGAGGTATATGGACTTACTAAAGATTACACTCTGGCTCTTACTACAGTGGTCTCTTTCAGTGTAATTGCAGGGCTCTTCCTTCACAGTGTACCTAGAATTCTGACATGAGATTTCATGCTTTGCATAAATCCACATTAAATTACATGGATGTTATAGAGTGTACCATATATTCCAGTTTTCAGGTGCCAGATTAGGCCAGTTAGCAGTGGTTCCATAAACAAGCAGTTTTTCCTTGGTTGTTTCCAATTTTGTTCTAGAATCTAAATTCTTCATTTAAAAAAAATGTAATCACAACCCTTATGGTGGTGAAGGTAACCTTCAAAATGTGAACTATATGAAAATAAACACAGTGGTGTCTTTTTGAGTCTGCAAATCTCCTTAAATAATAAATAGCTTTGAGAAAAGTAAGGACGTCTATTGATCTGAATGAGATGGTGACTGAAGCTTAATTATGACAATTTGAACTTCAACATTGTTAGCTGATCAAACCGTACAAGAACGAACATCTACACCATCTACTGTGAGTAGTGGCACATTTTGCTGCCACAAGTAGGAAAATGTTTCATAGTGGGAACCAAGACATCACCACTACTTATTTTTTCCTGTCTGACCTCTGGCTTTCTGTCTATTACAACTAGCATGGAAGTTATAGATCCCATATGTGTGAGAGCACAATACAGAGAGACATTTATAAAAGATATACACCTCACCATCCTTATGTAGAGACCACATGCAACATTTTCACATATTTATACTGTTTTAAATATATATCTCCTTATATATTATAAAACATGAAAAACTAAATATCTTATTAATAGAAACAGGACATCTTGAAATTAATACATTATGTAAGTACATTTGTCTGTCCATGAAAGCCTTGATATTCTCTTCATCATTTCCTCCTGCTTTGAGCTGGCTACTTTACACTAGCTTTGAGAATCACGCCCTTTAACAGATTTTAGTTATATATATTTTCCTCTTGTGGGAGCTCGATATTTGAGTGCCATTTTTTGAGATACAAATAGAACTCAATCTTAACTGGTAACAATCAATTCAAACTTCCCCCAAAGGTTCTTTAAACTAGTTGGATATTTTTCTTTTTTAGATGCTATTCAAGCTTTGCAATTCATAATCCAATTAACTAATAGATTGGCCGCTGGAATTCATGATAAAATACATATATTTGGTGTTAGAAATGGTTGTTCATAATTAAATAAATTAATAATAGTTAAATAATTAACATCAATGTATGTGACCAAACCACGCAGTCTAGTTTGAAGCTTCACTGGTTTCAAATAGTAAAAGGGCTGAAGAAGAATGAATTGAATGGAAGCCTTAGTACTCAGGGAATACTGGAACATTTTTTGTTCCAGTACTTGACCAATTCTAATAGTAAGCAAAGAATGATGTTCTCTGTCCTCGTTTTTCCCATATGAGGGTAAGTGAAACATGGGATTCAGGAATAAATCAATCAGCAATTACACTAATAATAGTCACCTTGTTAGGACACCATTCTAATAAAGAAACAGAAGAAAAGAGGCAAAGTTATCCTAATTTTCTCTTTTCCCTCTCTATAAGCATTATACACTATCCTAAGTGTTTTGTGTTAATGAAAAAGCTGGCTGTAGCACCAAAGTCTTATTTTTGCTAAACCGCTTAAGCAACATTTGCAATGTCGGATTAGATAAGAGAAAAATGGGTCAAGAGAATTAGGCAAAATACTGAAAAACAATACTACTACTGGCTACATTATTGGATTTCACCCCTGGTATATAACTACTTTTATTAGACAACTAATGCCATCTGCTCACATATAGCTTTCTAATGGGAACTATTAAAAATGTTAAGGAATATGTAAAATAACCAATTTAAATATCCAAATAATTTTAAGAGTACCATAGGTAAATCAATTATTACACAAAATGTATCCATCAGGAATTTTGCTTAATGTTATTTAATTTGTGACTAGACTAGTTTTGCTGCAACAAAATTCCTGATGGATATCTTGGTACATTTTGTTCTAGGATGGAATGATAGCATGGAAACTAATTAATTTTTTCCTCCACTACACACTGGCCTGGTATTGCCAAACTTGGGTTATATAGTGAAGCAGGAAAGAACTGATTGCAGAGAGTACAGTACATCTGTTTTTGTCTTAAGATCTTTGCCCTGCTCCTTTTCTATTAAGTATGTGTAGCAAAAAAATGTTTAGTTTTCAAATGTTGATATGAAACAAAAACTTTCATTTCAAATTCTGTTGTTTGAAAACCAAAACAGTTTGTTGAAATTGACATTTTCCATAGATTTTGACAAAACAATATTTTCCAAAGGAAAAATATTTTGGTCAAAAAATTTCTACCAGTTTGACTGATTAGTTTGTCCTAAATTGAATTATTTTTGATTGGGGGGGGTATTTGTTATCATATGGCAGTGACCATGATAGACAGAGTTTGGATTCATTATATCCCTTCATTTTCACTCCTAATGGTCTCACTTTTACTTTTGCTTTGAAACTTCCCCCTATGCTTGGTTTCATCCCAAAGGGTATTTATTTGTTCATCAGTTACCAAGTCAGATTAGCATGAAAAAATACACAATTCCGAACATAAAAAAATTCAGAAGCTTCATACAGATAGAAAAAATATAAAAATTACTGAGGGTACAAAATGCAGACTCACTGAAAAAAAATCAATCTAACTCTGGGTGAGGAAAAAGGGTTAGATTTTTTTTTAAGTTAAGGTTTAAAGTAATGTGTTTTGCCTGTGTAGTAGAAAAGTTTCATATTTGTTTTTGTTTCATATCAACACAGTGCTCACTTAAGTGGGTTCAGAATCGTGGGCACATATGGTGCATCAACTGCAGTTCTTGTTTTGGATTACTTTATTGGCTCATTCCAAGGATAGATCCTATGAGAAATTCATGTTGTTAGAAGAGCACTTTTCATTTTATAGGAACTACAGGAACACACTTTATAAAATTCACATTTGGAATTTAGCTCCTTCTGCTCAAACAAAGGTGTGGCTTCTCGATCTGCCTCATTCAAGTCAGGGACAAAACTCCTACAGACTTTAATAAGGCCAAGATTTCACACCGGTCTCTGCTCTTTTCTGACTGGTAAATGGGTTCACGAGGCGTAAAGTCCCTCAACTGGGATGGAGAAGGATTACAGCAGCCCCTTCTTGTGGGGAAAATAAAGGCAAAAAATATTGTGTTAAAGTAGCACTAAACCTGAGAAATTAAGTACATAAAAGTGAGGAAATTCAAAAGGTTAAGAGTTTCTACAGTGATATTATCTCTCCTACATTGCACATATGATATGAAAACCACCAAATGTATTGTTTTATTTTGTTTCTTTTCAAGAAGACACATTGTTTCTCATTGAAAAAAAAAAGACAGAACATGACAAAAAGGTCCATTTTGCTTAAAGACATGGTCCATGCTTTTTCTGCGTACGTTTTCTAAGAATGCCATGAATTTGCATCAATTTATGTCTAGATATATTGAAAAGCTTTGAAATATGTAGCTAGTCACTTCATATGTCCAGCAGATGGCACTGAAGATTGCATTTTCACATTGTCTTCTCTTATGTTCAACTGAAATTACTGACTCTCACAACCTTAAACATCTAATTTTCTATACTAAAATTATGTTCTGCTGCGGGCACATCTTATTAGAAAAAAAAGGTGTCTTCTGATAAGTGGCATTGCTGTAAGAAGTGCAAAGGACAGCTCAGCAGCTGTAGCACATATGGTGTGAAAAAAATAGTGCTCTGAATAAGATGCAGTATCTTGCCCCCTACACATACACAATTTTTTCATAAAATCAGTTAGATTTTTTTGTCTATCTTTATCAGCATTTTTAATTTTACATCAGCCTTAGCAATCAGCCCAAGAAGGTAAATTCTATGATCTACTTCAGAATGAACATGCCAAATTATGTGCTCTGGTGTATTTTCTTTAATTACTTGATCATACTCTGCTTTCAAAGCCAGGAGTAGAATCCAGCAATCTTGATACCCAGAATTCCACTGCTATCTCACAAAGAGCTGTGTGTATCACGTCCCACTCTATGGGTTGGTCCACACAGGGTTTGTCTTTAGTAGGAAAAGTAGTCAAGTTTAGATTGAGCTTAGCTAACACATGCTAAGAATAGAGACTACATGTGACCCAAACACTTTGCTTCCCTTATCAGTTTTCTACCATTCCTAGCTTTGTATTTATATATATATATATATATATATATATATAT